CTGAAAACACACACACCGAACACACACTGAAAACACACACACTGAACACACACTGAACACACACACACACACACTGAATGCACACACACACTGAATGCACACACACTGAACACACACACACACACACTGAACACACACACTCACACACTGAACACACACACACACACACCACACTGAACACACACTAACACACTCACACACACACACACACACACACTGAACACACACACTGAAAACACACACACACACTGAGAACACACACACCGAACACACACTGAAAACACACACACACACACTGAATACACACACACACACTGAACACACACACACACACACACACACTGAACACACACATACACACACACTGAACACACACACACACACACACACACTGAACACACACACACACACACTGAACACATACACACACACTGAACACACACATACACACACACACACACTGAACACACACACTGAACACACACATACACTGAACACACACACACACACTGAACACACACTGAGAACACACACACCGAACACACACTGAAAACACACACACTGAACACACACACACACTGAATGCACACACACACTGAACACACACACACACACACACACACTGAATACACACACACACACACTGAGACGCACACACTGAACACACACACACACACACTGTCTATAGGACCAGAAAGCACCAGTACAGCACCATCATCAGAACCATGTGTGTTGTGTCTGTAGGACCAGAAAGCACCAGTACAGCACCATCAGCAGGACCATGTGTGTTGTGTCTGTAGGACCAGAAAGCACCAGTACAGCACCATCAACAGGACCATGTGTGTTGTGTCTGTAGGACCAGAAAGCACCAGTACAGCACCATCAGCAGGACCATGTGTGTTGTGTCTGTAGGACCAGAAAGCACCAGTACAGCACCATCAGCAGGACCATGTGTGTTGTGTCTGTAGGACCAGAAAGCACCAGTACAGCACCATCAACAGGACCATGTGTGTTGTGTCTGTAGGACCAGAAAGCACCAGTACAGCACCATCAGCAGGACCATGTGTCCGCCTCGGACTCAGTTCCACGTGGACGTAACGACTTTATCCAAGACTGAAGAAAGATACAAGCTGCGAGTCTCAGGCCTGGAGTCCTTCCAGATCAAGTGAGAGTTACAGAAGGAGGTGCTACAGGAGGAGGTGCTTCAGAAGGAGGTGCTACAGGAGGAGGTGCTACAGAAGGAGGTGCTACAGGAGGAGGTGCTACAGGACGTTTGTCCTCTGCATTTGACTCCTCCTCCTGCTCCTCTTGCTGCTGCTCCTCCTCCTGCTGCTCCTGCTCCTCTTGCTGCTGCTCCTTCTCTTGTTCCTCCTCCTCCTCCTGCTGCTCCTGCTCCTCTTGCTCCTGCTCCTCTTGCTGCTGCTCCTCATCTTGCTGCTCCTCCTCCTTCAGGAGAGAAAGTAAAGAACAGTGAAGGCTTTCACTCTGTTAAATGAATGTGTTCTTATTTCATTCCATTTTCTTTCACTTTATCCGTTGCCGGAGTGTTCCCTGTGGCCTCCTCCCAGAACACCTCCTCAGGGAGGCGTCCAGGAGGCGTCCCAAACAGAACCTGAACATACGGAGTATTTTCAACATATAAAACAACAATTAAACTCGACTTCATTTTATTCTCTTAGCACGACGGACCAGAAGTTCACCATTAAAGCGTCTCCTTCTCAGCCTCAGGTACACATGGTCCTCCTCACATGGTCCTCCTCACATGGTCCTCCTCACATGGTCCAACACAACTTTACAACCAACGCTAACATTATTTTTATTTTGCTTTTGTTGTGAAACTGAAACCCACATTTGCTCCTCCTCTGTCTCCTCCTCCTTTGTCTTCCTCTGTTTCCTCCTCCTCTGTCTCCTCCTCCTCGTCCTCCTCTTCCTCCTCCTCCTCCTCTCTCTCCTCCTCCTCTTCCTCGTCCTCCTCCTCTGTCTCCTCTTCCTCCTCTTCCTCTGTCTCCTCCTCTTCCTCCTCTTCCTCTGTCTCCTCTTCCTCGTCCTCCTCTGTCTCCTCTTCCTCCTCCTCCTCTGTCTCCTCTTCCTCTGTCTCCTCTTCCTCCTCCTCCTCTGTCTCATCCTCCTCTGTCTCCTCTTCCTCCTCCTCTGTCTCCTCCTCCTTGTCCTCCTCTTCCTCTGTCTCCTCCTCCTCCTCTTCCTCTGTCTCCTCTTCCTCGTCCTCCTCTGTCTCCTCTTCCTCCTCCTCCTCTGTCTCCTCTTCCTCTGTCTCCTCCTCTTCCTCCTCCTCCTCTTCCTCTGTCTCTTCCTCTGTCTCCTCCTCCTCTTCCTCTGTCTCCTCTTCCTCCTCCTCCTCTGTCTCCTATTCCTCCTCCTCCTCTTCCTCTGTCTCCTCGTCCTCCTCTGTCTCCTCCTCCTCCTCTGTCCCCTCTTCCTCCTCTTCCTTTGTCCCCTCTTCCTCCTCCTACTCTTCCTCTTCCTCCTCTTCCTCCTCAACCTCTTCCTCTGTCTCCTCTTCCTCCTCCTCCTCTGTCTCCTCTTCCTCCTCTGTCTCCTCTTCCTCTTCCTCCTCGTCCTCCTCCTACTCCTCCTCCTCTTCCTCTGTCTCCTCCTCGTCCTCCTCTGTCTCCTCCTCCTCTGTCTCCTCCTCCTCCTCCTCTGTCTCCTCCTCCTGTCTCCTCCTCCTCCTCTTCATCCTCCTCCTCCTCTGTCTCTTTCCTCCTCCTCTTCCTCTGTCTCCTCGTCCTCCTTCTCTGTCTCCTCCTCCTGTCTCCTCCTCCTCCTCTTCATCCTCCTCCTCTGTCTCTTTCCTCCTCCTCTTCCTCTGTCTCCTCCTCCTCAGTCTCCTCTTCCTCCTCCTCTGTCTCCTCCTCCTCTTCATCTGTCTCCTCTTCCTCCTCCTCTTCCTCTCTCTCCTCTTCCTCTGTCTCCTCCTCTTCCTCCTCCTCCTCGTCCACCTCCTCCTCTGTCTCCTCCTACTCCTCCTCTTCCTCTGTCTCCTCTTTCTCCTCCTCCTCCTCCACTTCCTCTGTCTCCTCTTCCTCCTCCTCCTCTGTCTCCTCCTCCTCGTCCTCCTCCTCCTCTTCCTCTGTCTCCTTCTCCTCGTCCTCCTTTGTCTCCTCTTCCTCCTCCTACTCTTCCTCTTCCTCCTCTTCCTCTGTCTCCTCTTTCTCCTCCTCTTCCTCTTCTGTCTCCTCCTCCTCTTCCTCTGTCTCCTCCTCCTCCTCTGTCTCCTCCTCCTCTTCCTCCTCCTCTGTCTCCTCCTCTGTCTCCTCCTCCTCTGTCTCCTCTTCCTCTGTATCCTCCTCCTCCTCTGTCTCCTCCTCCTCGTCCTCCTCCTCCTCCTCTTCCTCTGCCTCCTCCTCCTCTTCCTCTGTCTCCTCCTCCTCTTCCTCTGTCTCCTCCTCTTCCTCTGCCTCCTCCTCCTCTTCCTCTGTCTTCTCTTCCTCTTCCTCCTCCTCCTGTCTCCTTCTCATCCTCTTCCTCTGTCTCCTCTTCCTCCTCCTCTTCCTCTGTCTCCTCTGTCTCCTCTTCCTCCTCCTCCTCTTCCTCTGTCTCCTCCTCCTCCTCCTCTTCCTCCTCTTCCTCTTCCTCTGTCTCCTCCTCGTCCTCCTCTGTCTCCTCTTCCTCGTACTCCTCTTCCTCCTCCTACTCTTCCTCTTCCTCCTCTTCCTCTGTCTCCTCTTTCTCCTCCTCCTCTTCCTCCTCCTCAGTTTTTCAGGTACGACTTTCCAAAGGGAGTGGACACAGTTCTGGTCAAAGTCACTTCTGAAACGGCTTCTCCCTGCGCCGTGCTGTCCATCCAAAACACAACGGTACAAGTAGACCAGGACTGAGGCTGCAGACCCAGGACTGAGGCTGTAGCCCCAGGACTGAGGCTGTAGCCCCAGGACTGAGACTGTAGACCCAGGACTGAGACTGTAGACCCAGGACTGAGGCTGTAGACCCAGGACTGAGGCTGTAGACCCAGGACTGAGACTGTAGACCCAGGACTGAGGCTGTAGACCCAGGACTGAGACTGTAGACCCAGGACTGAGGCTGTAGACCCAAGACTGAGGCTGTAGATCCAGGACTGAGACTGTAGACCCAGGACTGAGGCTGTAGACCCAGGACTGAGGCTGTAGCTACTAAGCCTTGAATAAGTTTTATTTGGTTTCCATCAGACTTCATTCGATAATTCTAACCACATGTTGTGTGTTGTGTGTTTGTGTGTTGTCTGTTGTGTGTTTGTGTGTTTGTGTGTTGTCTGTTGTGTGTTTGTGTGTTGTGTGTTTGTGTGTTGTGTTTCCAGTGTCCTGTGAATGACCTCGAAACCAACGTGGACTTCAGTGGAATGTATCAAACCGTCTCCAAGATGGGGGCCATCACGGTGCAGGTTCTGCTCTCTGATTGGATAATTATGTATTTCTGGTTAAGATCCTTTCTTCTTTAAACTGTTGTTCAGAAAAGGTTTGTTATAATTCCTGGTCCTCTGGTCCTGATCCTGGTACTGGTCCTGGTACTGGTCTCCTGGTCCAGGTCCTCTGGTCCAGGTCCTCTGGTCCAGGTGCTGTGATAGGACTAGTACCTGTAGACCTGTTATCTGGGGAGTATACTATACTTTGATACCAGCTGTGGTGTTGTTGCTTCAGCGCTCCATGGTCCTTTGATACCAGCTGTGGTGTTGTTGCTTCAGCGCTCCATGGTCCTTTGATACCAGCTGTGGTGTTGTTGCTTCAGCGCTCCATGGTCCTTTGATACCAGCTGTGGTGTTGTTGCTTCAGCGCTCCATGGTCCTTTGATACCAGCTGTGGTGTTGTTGCTTCAGCGCTCCATGGTCCTTTGATACCAGCTGTGGTGTTGTTGCTTCAGCGCTCCATGGTCCTTTGATACCAGCTGTGGTGTTGTTGCTTCAGCGCTCCATGTCCTTTGATACCAGCTGTGGTGTTGTTGCTTCAGCGCTCCATGGTCCTTTGATACCAGCTGTGGTGTTGTTGCTTCAGCGCTCCATGGTCCTTTGATACCAGCTGTGGTGTTGTTGCTTCAGCGCTCCATGGTCCTCGGGGGGAGCTTCTTCCTGGTGCTGGTGGTGAAGTCAGAGGACGGAGAGTGTGGAGGATCTGGAAACACATCAGAAACAAATCAGAGCAAGATCCTGGAGGTGGTGGTGTCTCCAGTGACGTACGGCAAGTACCACCTGCTGCCTCCACAGTACACAGCACTTTAAAGTCAGGAGCAAGTGTTTGATCCACAGTACACAGCACTTTAAAGTCAGGAGCGAGGGTTTGATCTACAGTACACAGCACTTTAAAGTCAGGAGCAAGTGTTTGATCTACAGTACACAGCACTTTAAAGTCAGGGCAAGTGTTTGATCCACAGTACACAGCACTTTAAAGTCAGGAGCAAGTGTTTGATCTACAGTACACAGCACTTTAAAGTCAGGAGCAAGTGTTTGATCTACAGTACACAGCACTTTAAAGTCAGGAGCAAGTGTTTGATCCACAGTACACATCTAAATATTCGGAGTGTTATTTCCAAGACTGAACAAATAGAACATTTACTCACGGACTCTAATTTAGATTATATATGCTTGAGTGAATCTTGGTTGACTCCTACGACGCCCCTAGCGGTTATAAATGTTAATGGCTACAAAGTTTACAGACGGGATAGAGAACATGGAAGGGGGGGGGGGGGGGGGGGGGAGTGTTGATATGTTAAAAACAGTCTACAAAGTAAAGAAATAGACCTGGGGAAAACTACACTTGAGTGCGTGGGAGTCTCCATCACGCTCTCCCCTCATATGTCTTTTGCAATACTTTGCATATATCGCCCTCCAAATGCCTCAAATGATTTTTATCCAGAATTACACAAAATACTTAAAGCAATTGAATACAAGGAAATCTTACTTATGGGTGACTTCAACTTAAACTGGCAAGACAAAGTACGAAGAAAAAAACTCAAAGAACTAGCAAAATCTCTTGAAATGACCCAATTATTAAACAAACCTACTAGAATAACAAAAACATCACAAACGTTAATAGATTTAATCTTTACAAACAAACCAGAAAGAGTAACAAAAACCTATAACCTGATTACTGGTTTATCAGATCATAACCTCACGCTAGCAGTCAGAAAATTAAACAAGTCCAGATTTAAGCGTGAAGGTCCCCAAACAAGTTCTCCCTCTGCTTAAGAATGATTTGATGGAAGTAAAATGGAGCGACATAATAGCTGATAAGTCATGCGAACAAGCTTGTAGTGACTTTATCTCTACTCTACAATCTATTTTACATAATTATATAAAACACAAAAGAAAGAATCAGAATAGAAAAAGTCTACCATGGTTTACACACAACATTTGGAAACTTATGAAGGGACGCTTCATTGAAACATTTCATAAAATCAAGACTATCTACTGATAATCTAATCTTTAAAGGGCTAAGGAATAAAGTTACAGCAATGATCAGAAAAGCCAAGGCCGACTTCTTTCTCAATCTAATTAAAGAAGCTAAGGGAAATAGTAAAATGCTGTGGAAAAACATTGACAGCATTCTTGGAAAACAGAAAAACACCAATGCTGAATTGTGTTTACAAATAAATGGAGTCACTGAAAAGGAAAGTGACGCCCTGGCGATGAATTTTAACAAATATTTTATTGATTCAGTGAATAAATTATCACAATCATTCTCACTACCCCACATCATGGAAACTCCTGATGTGAATGATCCAATGGCCCAATGGCCCAATGACCCAAAGTGTTTGATCTACAGTACACAGCACTTTAAAGTCAGGAGCAAGTGTTTGATCTACAGTACACAGCACTTTAAAGTCAGGAGCATGTGTTTGATCCACTGCTACAGCGTTTGAAAGTCAGGGACCTGAGCTTTAACACAGTCTCTGTCACAGACGCAGTTAAGGTTATTATGGTCCCCTCCGTCTGTTTGGGCCTCATCATCTGTCTCTGTATTCCACTCTGCATCCGGGACACAGGTGGGTTTACTACTACTACTACTGCTACTACTACTACTGCTACTACTACTACTACCACGACTACTACTACTGCTACTACTACTACTACTACTACTACTACTGCTGCTACCACGACTACTACTACTGCTACTACTACTGCTACTACTACTACTACCACGACTACTACTACTGCTACTACTACTACTACCACGACTACTGCTACTACTACTGCTACTACTACTACTACCACGACTACTGCTACTACTACTGCTACTACTACTACTACCACGACTACTACTACTGCTACTACTACTACTACCACGACTACTACTACTGCTGCTACCACGACTACTACTACTGCTACTACTACTACTACTGCTACTACTACTGCTACTACCACGACTACTACTACTGCTACTACTACTACTACTACTACTACTACTACTACTACTACTACTACTACTACCACGACTACTACTACTGCTACTACTACTACTACTACTACTACTACGACTACTACTGCTACTACTACTACTACTACTACTACTACTGCTACTGCTACTACTACTACTACTACCACTACTACTACTACTGCTACTACTACTACTACCACGACTACTACTACTGCTACTACTACTGCTACTACAACCACTGCTACTGCTACTACTACTACTACCACTACTACTACCACGACTACTACTACTGCTACTACTACTACTACTACTGCTGCTACCACGACTACTACTACTGCTACTACTACTACTACTGCTACTACCACGACTACTACTACTGCTACTACTACTACTACTGCTACTACTACTGCTACTACTACTACTACTACTACTACTACTACTACTACTACTACTACTACTACTACTACTACTACTACTGCTGCGACTACTGCTACTACTACTACTACTACTACTACTACTGCTACTACTACCACGACTACTACTACTGCTACTACTACTGCTACTACTACTACTACCACGACTACTGCTACTGCTACTACTACTACTACCACGACTACTACTACTGCTACTACTACTACTACCACGACTACTACTACTGCTGCTACCACGACTACTACTACTGCTACTACCACGACTACTACTACTGCTACTACTACTACTACTACTGCTACTACTACTGCTACTACTACTGCTACTACTACTACTACCACGACTACTACTACTGCTACTACTACTACTGCTACTACTACTACCACGACTACTACTGCTACTACTACTACTACTACTACTACTACTGCTACTGCTACTACTACTGCTACCACTACTACTACTACTACTACTACTACTACTACTACTACTACTACTACTACTACTACTACTACTACTACTACTACTACTACTACTACTACTACTACTACTACTACTACTACTGTTGCTGTTGTAGAAAAATTTCCTTCATCTGATCTTTGTGATAATTTTTCCAGGGAAAAAATCTATCAAGTGTTGTCTGTGTTGCCGACAGGTGAGTGTGTGTGTGTCTGTGTGTGTTCGGACTTTTTATGTTATAGCCCTCCGAAGGGGCTAACGGCAGGCAGCACACATGGCATGACTCGTGTTTGTCATATTTTGGTAATTTATTAGAACAAATGTTTGACCACAGGTCATAAAACTGGAAAGAATACAGAAATAAACAATTACCACTAATTGTCCCTTTAAATTATTTGCCACTAAACTGAACATTGTTATTTGTAAATAAACATTTAGTACTTATTTACATGTAATACAGAATAAACATTTGTAAAGCAAACAAACACATTATTGCGCATTTCCCCGTGTAGCCGCGTCAAACCACCCCAAAACTACACTACCCAGCATGCCTGGCGCCGAGTGCGCCTGCGCTATGCGTGCCTCTGCTCTCTCATGTGTCAGCACGGACCAAAACAAACTATGGCACACATACAGCGCTCCACACGTGTCTCCGCTACCACCCGTGCAGTCTACTGCTGCTACAGTCCACCTGTATCTGTGATTATGACCACGGTCACAGTGAGTGCTCTGGCTGCTGTGCGCTCTCACTAACTACACCCCACTGACACCACTGCACAATGCTGGAGCTACGCTGCGCTGGATGAGCTTTGTACACAACACGATGGCTTGGTTTGTCTGTTAATTGCATGTTACCTAAAAGGCAATGCTGGTACATGAAAATAAATACTACTTTTCCCCATATCCGCTACGTTACTTGGCCGACTGATCTAAATCCAAGGAGGCCACGAAACAGTCACATGAGTCTTTTAGTAGAATCTAGGCCAATCCGTACGGGAGTTAGCAAATCATAAATCCTAAATTGTACTAACTAAGGAGGTAGGCCCCACCACCTTGCCTCCTACCGAGGTGTAGGTTTGCCCTTGAATCACTCGGGGGGAGCCGCCTCCCAGGGTAGACCCACTAACTAAACACATTAAAAGTCTTTTGGGCCCCCTGGTGAGGACTCATACCTTGATGGTCTTCTACCGGAATCAGCACGACCAATCTTCGTACATCTCTGCGTAGGTCGACAGTAGAGGGCAAGGTACAGTCTCGACTATGGGTCCTGGAAACACGGGGGGCAGGAAGGCTACGCAGTGGCGACTGTCGACATCTCGTTACCACTCCGGTCTTGTCCGGATAGGTGACGACAATCCGACCGAGCCGGAACTGTCCTCGCAGGGCATTCTGGTCAGCGGATCCAAACTAGATCTCCATCTTGGGATCAGTTTTCGGGGTGGAAGACCCACTGCCATTCAGTTCCATTTTTTGCTGCAATGTCCTCGAAGTCGACACTTTCTGCAGACTGTCCAAGTGCCTGTGAAGGTCTCTTAGCGCAGATTTGGCACCCACGAAATTTGTGCCCCTGTCAGACCATAACTTCCATGGATGTCCTCTCAAAGCGGTGAATCTCGAGTACGCCTGAAGAAAGCTCTCAGCTGACAGGTCGTCTACAAGATCGGCATGGACAGCTCTGGAAGCCATGCAACAGAACACGATACCCCAGACCTTTTTCATGGTCCGTTTCTTGACCGCATCTCTTACTTCGAAAGGACCGAAAAGATCCAGCGTGGTAAACTCGAATGGGTTTGCTCTGTGTGTGCGCTCAAGGGGAAGATCGCTCATTTGTTGTTGGCATAGCCTTGCTTTCTGCTTCTTGCACGTTATGCACTCGTTGATCACCCTCTTGACTATCCTTCGGCCTTCTATGATCCAGGCCTTTCTTCTTGTGCGCAGTAGTGTAGCAGCAACCCCTTCATGATTAGCCTTGTGAGCTTCTCTAGCCAGCAGAGTACCCAACCACGATTGGAAAGGTAGCAATGGTACCCCTCTACTGTCCTCTTTCCATGATTGGATTCTTCCGCCACAAAGCAAGAGTCCTGTGTTTTCATTTTTGGTTACAACAAGGCGGTTCAAGGTTGTAATTTTGAAGTCTATGCCACTCTGGGCAGCAAAGACCAAATCTTGAAAAGCCTCTGTTCTTTCGTCTGCAGACAGTTTTGAACCGTTTGCCTCCCACTTTGCTGGCTTCAAGGCTTTGTTCTTTGTCCTCAGCCATGATTCTACAGCTCGTCGGACCCAGGCGACAGTTCCACATAGTTTTGACAAGCTGCCAAATCGTTCTAACTCCAAAAGACTGATAAGAGCCACGCCCCATGTCTTTCCTTTTGGCCTTGTTATTGTTTGAAGAGGACATTTGTCTTCTGGTTGTTGTTTTAGTGTTCTGACTTTGACATTTGAACTTTCACCAGCTTTACAGAGTCCCAATTCTTTTCGCGACTGTGCTCTAGTCATTACAGCAGAGAATGCTTTTCTTTGTAACCTTTTCACTTCAACAGCAACTTTGGTCACGATCTCATCGGCCGTCTTCACAGGCCAATCAGCTTCAGGACATTTTAGAAACTCAGGGCCTTGCTGCCATTCCGACTTTTCGTCAAGCTCTTCAGGAGTGGCTCCCCGAGTGACGATGTCAGAAATGTTGAGGTTACCGTCCACCCACCGCCAGTCTTCTACTGGTCCAGCCAATTGTATCTCACCGATTCGATTAGAGAAGAATGTTTGGTAGCCATAACTGTCCTTCTGGATTGCCCCCAAGATAGTTTGGCTATCCACAAAATGGACCCAGCGAGAGACCTCCAGGCGGCAATGTTTCTCAAAGTATCTTTTTAGACGAGTTGCGAAGACAGCGCCACATAACTCAGCCTTGATTACATCCCCTTTCTGGTCGAGAGGGGTTAGTTTTGCCTTTGATTCGACAAGCCTCACAACAACCCCTTCTTGCGTCTCCCAGCGGAGATAAAGCACAGCACCGTAGGACGCCTCACTCCCATCAGAGAACGTAATACCCATGGGGTGGCCCACGGCTCCAAAGGGTGTGAGACTTCTTTCAAACCTTATCTGGCCAAGTCTCACATACCCCTCAAAGAGTCTTATGGCAGCCTCCCGGAGTTTTGGCGACAGTGGGTCATCCCAAGTGTCCTTACTTGGATTTCCTATCCTTGCTTCTTGGTAAGCCTCCCTTACGAGCATTACTCCCTCTTGCTTGGCTGGTGTGGCTAGACCAATAGGATCGTAGAATCCTGCGACCTGACTTAGAAGTGTCCGACGAGTTAACGGGTCGGGAGTGTTATGACGTACTTCATCTTCTTTTAAGTCAATGCCAGTCCTCATCTTTCCTCGTTTCTTTGAGAAATTTATGGACGTCATTACACAAAGTTTGTCAGTCTCTGGTTCATAGCCAACACCCAGTGCTTTGTTTTCTTCGTCTCGCATCTGATTTGGCAATACCAAGGTTCTAGGCAAAGACTTCCCATCGTTGCTGGAACTTGCCTGGGTTTCTGACCTCCCACTTTGGCCCGTCAACACCCACGGTTTTAGGGAGAAGCCGCCAGACTTTAAGATCTTTGCGATGCCTTTGGTGATCTTCTCCAACGTCTGGAGGTCGTTGTGGGATGTCAGTATGTCATCGACATAGCTATCTTCTACCAGTACACGGCGCTCTTCAAGCATGTCGGCAAACTGTGGTAGGCTCGCAGTCTCTCTCATGGCAACCTGAGCGATGCACCCTGCAGGTTTATCCCCAATGTTCACTCTGACTACAGCGAATGTCTGGATTTCATCCTCTGGGTTGTCCCTCCAAAGGAATCTGTGGAGGTGAACTTCTTTGTCCTTTAGCCATACAGAATTATACATTTTCTTTACGTCTCCTAAGGCGGCATATAATCCTGTCCGGAATCTTAGAAGGACACCTCTAATTGCATTGAGGACATCTGGACCCTTGTACAGAAGGTCGTTCAAGCTCACCCCACGCAACTCTTGGCTGCTGTTCCATACAATCCTTACTGGAGTAGAAGACGAGTGTGGATTAGGTGCTACTAAGTGGCTGATGTACCACTTTGGCCCCGTCCAGCTTGCAAGTTCCTCTTCAGTTAGCTCAGTTGCAGCTCCTCTTGAGATCATGTCACGGATTTGCTCCTTATACGCAGCCTTCCACTTCGGCTCCTTCTCAAGACGTTTCTCGGTGTTCAGGAAAGTTGCCTTTACTGCATGTCGGTTATCTGGTAATGTTGCAGGGTCACCTTTCCATGGATATGCAGCGTCCCAGTGAGGAGAGTCGCTGTGTTTGTCTGCTTGCACGTAGGTGAGACATTCTTTGATCTTTTCAAGTTCTCTTTCCTCTCCGAGTGTCATTTCTTTGCCACCAGGGGGACATCTACCGCACTTACAGCCACCACACCGGGGGTCACAGGCAGCACCGACACTGTCCCACTTGAACCACTCAAAAGCTTCTTTGCTCGTGACTGCAGTACTCCGGAAGATGGTCTCTTCTACTTTGGCAGAGTCAGATGAATTGACAACGACTTCTCTGTACACTTTCGAGGCTGCTCTCATGGAGCGAGCAAAGTGCGTTTCAGACTTGTACACTGCAAAGTCTACTTCCTCGAAGAGGTCTGGATGAGCCCCACCGACAGTTAGTCCAAGAGGACCATCCCAAAGGACGAGGTCTCCTTGTACTTTGATTGGCTGTGGGACCAGGCGGCCTTCTCTGTGACTTATCAGAAGGTCGATCTTCTCGGGGCGGACCAAGTCGTTAGCAGCAATGTCAGGAAAGAACTTGAGAAGTTGCTGTGGTGTCACTGCCTGGTTCACTTTTGCAATGTTCTCCAGACCGTAACACAAGAGCTTATGCTCTGTCACTGTGCCTTTCTGAGTTTTTACTCTTAGTCTCAGAGTATACCTTTTGGTTGCAACCGTTTTCTCCATTCCTCCAACTCCTTGGACAATCAACTTGACCTTCTCGCCTTTCAGCTTTAAACGTTCAGCATCGTTCGAAATGTAATTAGTGTATGAAGCAAGATCGATCAGTGTACCAACAAGATGGCCTGAATTTGTTGTCACAGAAAGTAGCATCATCACGACTGGGTACTCTTTTGGTTTACTTTCTGATCTTGTGCACACTGTCGTTGTGATTTTGTTTGAGAAGGCTTCTTTGACCTCTGCTTTCAGTTCTGGAGAGAGTTTGGCGAGAACTTCTTCTTGTCTTTCTGTTAATCCAAGTCCTTTCATTTGTACTTTGACCTTGCTTTGTTCCACGTTCTTTAATTCTTTCTTCTTTGTTAGTGGTGGCAACGGACAGAGTCAGTAGTTGTGGTCTGAGGCCCCTCTTTTTTGACAGTCTTGTTTAGAGCATAGAAACCTCTCGGTGCACGCACTGTCTTTATCATGGAGGCGCAAGCATCTGAAGCATGCTCCTATCTTTTTCAGTAGAGCTTTCTTACTCGACAGGTTGAGCCTCTTGAAGGCTTTGCAGGCAAAGAGTCTTCCTTCATGCCCTTCCTCTCTGCAGACTATGCATGAACTTGACAGAGCATCCTTTTGGGTTGATGTTGCCTTTGTGAAGGCTTTCCTTTCTTTGGATTTCTCCTGTGACCTCTCATAGTCTTTTGAGCAGGGCTGTAGCTGATCCAACTCTTCAAGAATGTCTTCCTGTTTCTTCAGGTACTCTAGTAGACAGTCAAAGTGATGTCTGGGGGAAAAGCCGCTCGAGGGGTCATTCTTGTGAGTTAGCCACTTCTCCTTTAGCGAGTCTGGAAGCTTGCTCTCAATCGACTGTGCCACTAAACGATTTTTCACTGCGTCTTCCTCCCCCAGGACTTGGAGGTCCCTGAGAGCCCTTTCAACAGCTTGAATTAGTTCAATTGTCTTTCTAGGGTTGTTTCCCTTGACAGGCGGTAACCCGTGGACTTCTTTTGAGATAAGTAGCGCTATTTTTGGCCTATTCCCATATTTGTTGTCGAGGAGTCTGAACACGTCATTGGCAGATCCACAGCTGGACAGCACAAGGTCTCTTTTGACTCTGTCATCTAAGCTTCCCAATAGGTGGAACTTTCTTACGTTTTCCAAGCCATGAGGGTTCCCCAGCTGCTGCAGGTCTTCCCACTCAGCTTTCCATCGGTAGTAATCCCTCATGTTACCTGAAAATGTAGGCAGACGTGCTCGTTCCAAAGTGATTTGGGGCTTGAAGCTTAGTGGCCCTGGGTATATGCTGTGAGCCCCTTGAGCGTGAAGCGCACCCTCACTGACAGAGGTGGGCGCGCTGGTTGGGTTACGCTGGGCTCCACTTATGGGAGTGTGGCTGTCTTGGGGACGGGACAGTTTATGGTCAGGAGCAGGAACAGAGCTAGTAGATGCTGATGGCTCCATGGTCTGGGCTGCCATGTATACGTTTACTTTCGCCTCTTCTTCATCAGACCAACTGTTACGTCGCCACGCCCATTTATCCCACAGTTTCATTTGCCGCTTTCTCAGCTTCCTGCATGAGCCTCTTGATTCCAGAAGCTCTGCATGAGGAATGAAGTCTGACCACTCAGTCACTAAACTGTTGACTTCAAAGACGTCTCGTTCCAGGTCTTTGTTGATCAGCTCCCGCTCCATCCTAGATAGCAGTTGATAGTCCTTTACTTCGGCCTGATCCAGGGCTAAGTTAGCCTCCTCTACAAGATCGGAAATGTGATCCTTTGCAAATCTAGCCCATAAGTTGTTTAGGACGAGGAGTTTAACAGCGTCAAACTTTTTATCACATTCGTGCGTTCGCTCGTCAATCTGATTTGCCTTTACACTGGCCTCTTCGTCTTCTAGTTCACGTAGGGCTGTGGAGTACTCAAATCCTAAATCTGTGACTCTGTTATGATCCTCTTTGAAATTCCTCCACTCAGCCTTAAGATCCCCTTCTTCTAGAGCATTGACCCTGGAGGTAAGATTGTTTGCCTTTTTGGTGAACGCGGCCTGGGCTGCCGTACGCTTCTGCCGCAGCCTTTCAATCATCTCCTCATCTGCCATCTTGAAAATTTGCTTTATCCTTTGAATTTGCTTTATTCTTCAAATTTGCTTTATTCTTTGAATTTGCTTTATTCTGTGAATTTGCTTTATTCTGTGAATTTGCTTTATTCTGGGAGGCCAGACCAGATTTATTGTCTTGGTCTTCAGGCTGTGTATTGGCATCAGAACCAGGCCACAAGTTTCACTGGTGGGCCACTGGTTTATGACTGTTCGGACTTTTTATGTTATAGCCCTCCGAAGGGGCTAATGGCAGGCAGCACACATGGCATGACTCGTGTTTGTCATATTTTGTTAATTTATTAGAACAAATGTTTGACCACAGGTCATAAACCTGGAAAGAATACAGAAATAAACAATTACCACTAATTGTCCCTTTAAATTATTTGCCACTAAACTGAACATTGTTATTTGTAAATAAACATTTAGTACTTATTTACATGTAATACAGAATAAACATTTGTAAAGCAAACAAACACATTATTGCGCATTTCCCCGTGTAGCCGCGTCAAACCACCGCAAAACTACACTACCCAGCATGCCTGGCGCCGAGTGCGCCTGCGCTATGCGTGCCTCTGCTCTCTCATGTGTCAGCACGGACCAAAACAAACTATGGCACACATACAGCGCTCCACACGTGTCTCCGCTACCACCCGTGCAGTCTACTGCTGCTACAGTCCACCTGTATCTGTGATTATGACCACGGTCACAGTGAGTGCTCTGGCTGCTGTGCGCTCTCACTAACTCACCCCACTACACCAGCACAAAGTGCCGCGGATGAGCCACACACACTGACCTAAACAATGCTGGTACATCGCTACGTTACTGCGCTGGGTGTTTTATGAGCTTTGTACATACCAACGGGCTGTGTGCTCCTGACGATGGCTTGGTTTGTCTGTTAATTGCATGTTACAGTCACAGGTGCGTTATGCAGAACTTAAAGAGGCGTCACTGCGCCCGCCCATGAGTGATAAATGTGAAGTAATCCATGAAAATAAATACTACTTTCCCCATATCCGTGACTATGCCCAAAGAACCAAACAGTGTGTGTCTGTGTGTGTATAAATGTGTGTCACACACATTTATACACACACACACAGTGTGTGTGTGTATAAGTGTTGCCAACAGGTGTGTGTGTGTGTATTAATGTGTGTATAGTAATGTGTGTGTGTGTATTAATGTGTGTATACGTGTGTGTATAAGTGTTGCCAACTGGTGTGTGTGTGTATTAATGTGTGTGTCTGTATTAATGCCTGTTAGTAAATGCAGCGGTGAAAACTAGCGTATTATTGAAAGTCACGCCTATAAATATTCAGAAACCGCCAGTTTCACGCCGTGTTTTTACGACTGGTCAGCAGGAGCTCAGCCACGAAGACTGTTTGGAAACCTCAAACAGCCTCACTGTCCCAGAGCCACTGTCCCAGAGCCACTGTCCCAGAGCCACTGTCCCAGAGCCACTGTCCCAGAGCCACTGTCTTAGAGCCACTGTCCCAGAGCCATTGTCCCAGAGCCACTGTCTCAGAGCCACTGTCCCAGAGCCACTGTCCCAGAGCCACTGTCCCAGAGCCACTGTCTCAGAGCCACTGTCCCAGAGCCATTGTCCCAGAGCCACTGTCCCAGAGCCACTGTCCCAGAGCCACTGTCCCAGAGCCACTGTCCCAGAGCCACTGTCTCAGAGCCACTGTCCCAGAGCCACTGTCCCAGAGCCACTGTCCCAGAGCCACTGTCCCAGAGCCATTGTCCCAGAGCCACTGTCCCAGAGCCACTGTCTCAGAGCCACTGCCCCAGAGCCACTGTCCCAGAGCCACTGTCCCAGAGCCACTGTCCCAGAGCCACTGTCTCAGAATCACTGTCCCAGAGCCACTGTCCCAGAGCCACTGTCCCAGAGCCACTGTCCCAGAGCCACTGTCCCAGAGCCACTGTCTCAGAGCCACTGTCTCAGAGCCACTGTCCCAGAGCCACTGTCCCAGAGCCACTGTCCCAGAGCCACTGTCCCAGAGCCACTGTCCCAGAGCCACTGTCCCAGAGCCACTGTCCCAGAGCCACTGTCCCAGAGCCACTGTCCCAGAGCCATGTCCCAGAGCCACTGTCCCAGAGCCACTGTCCCAGAGCCACTGTCCCAGAGCCACTGTCCCAGAGCCACTGTCCCAGAGCCACTGTCTCAGAGCCACTGTCCCAGAGCCACTGTCCCAGAGCCACTGTCCCAGAGCCACTGTCCCAGAGCCACTGTCCAGGCCCGCCCAGAGCCACTGTCCCAGAGCCACTGTCCCAGAGCCACTGTCCCAGAGCCACTGTCCCAGAGCCACTGTCCCAGAGCCACTGTCCCAGAGCCACTGTCTCAGAGCCACTGTCTCAGAGCCACTGTCCCAGAGCCACTGTCCCAGAGCCACTGTCCCAGAGCCACTGTCCCAGAGCCACTGTCTCAGAGCCATTGTCCAGAGCCACTGTCCCAGAGCCATTGTCCCAGAGCCACTGTCCCAGAGCCACTGTCCCAGAGCCACTGTCCCCAGAGCCACTGTCCCAGAGCCACTGTCCCAGAGCCACTGTCCCAGAGCCACTGTCCCAGAGCCACTGTCCCAGAGCCACTGTCCCAGAGCCACTGTCCCCAGAGCCACTGTCTCAGAGCCATTGTCTCAGAGCCACTGTCCCAGAGCCACTGTCCCAGAGCCACTGTCCCAGAGCCATTGTCCCAGAGCCACTGTCCCAGAGCCACTGTCCCAGAGCCACTGTCCCAGAGCCACTGTCTCAGAGCCACTGTCCCAGAGCCACTGTCCCAGAGCCATTGTCCCAGAGCCACTGTCCCAGAGCCACTGTCTCAGAGCCACTGTCCCAGAGCCACTGTCCCAGAGCCACTGCCCCAGAGCCACTGTCCCAGAGCCACTGTCCCAGAGCCACTGTCCCAGAGCCACTGTCCCAGAGCCACTGTCTCAGAGCCACTGTCTCAGAGCCCCTGTCCCAGAGCCACTGTCCCAGAGCCACTGTCCCAGAGCCACTGTCCCAGAGCCACTGTCCCAGAGCCACTGCCCCAGAGCCACTGTCCCAGAGCCAGAGCCACTGTCCCAGAGCCACTGTCCCAGAGCCACTGTCTCAGAGCCACTGTCCCAGAGCCACTGTCTCAGAGCCACTGTCTCAGAGCCACTGTCCCAGAGCCAGAGCCACTGTCCCAGAGCCACTGTCTCAGAGCCACTGTCCCAGAGCCACTGCCCCAGAGCCACTGTCCCAGAGCCACTGTCTCAGAGCCACTGTCCCAGAGCCACTGTCCCAGAGCCACTGTCCCAGAGCCACTGTCCCAGAGCCATTGTCCCAGAGCCACTGTCCCAGAGCCACTGTCTCAGAGCCACTGTCTCAGAGCCACTGTCCCAGAGCCACTGTCTCAGAGCCACTGTCCCAGAGCCACTGTCCCAGAGCCACTGTCCCAGAGCCACTGTCTCAGAGCCACTGTCCCAGAGCCACTGTCCCAGAGCCACTGTCCCAGAACCATTGTCTCAGCCACTGTCCAGAGCCACTGTCCCAGAGCCACTGTCTCAGAGCCACTGTCCCAGAGCCACTGTCCCAGAGCCACTGTCCCAGAGCCACTGTCTCAGAGCCACTGTCTCAGAGCCACTGTCTCAGAGCCACTGTCTCAGAGCCACTGTCCCAGAGCCAGTGTCACTGAGCTCAGAGCCACTGTCCCAGAGCCACTGTCTCAGAGCCACTGTCCCAGAGCCACTGTCTCAGAGCCACTGTCTCAGAGCCCCTGTCCCAGAGCCACTGTCCCAGAGCCACTGTCCCAGAGCCCACTGTCCCAAAGCCACTGTCCCAGAGCCACTGTCTCAGAGCCACTGTCCCAGAGCCACTGTCCCAGAGCCACTGCCCCAGAGCCACTGTCCCAGAGCCAGAGCCACTGTCCCAGAGCCACTGTCCCAGACTCAGCCACTGTCTCAGAGCCACTGTCCCAGAGCCACTGTCTCAGAGCCACTGTCTCAGAGCCAGTCCCAGAGCCACTGTCCCAGAGCCAGTGTCCCAGAGCCACTGTCTCAGAGCCACTGTCCCAGAGCCACTGCCCCAGAGCCACTGTCCCAGAGCCACTGTCTCAGAGCCACTGTCCCAGAGCCACTGCCCCAGAGCCACTGTCTCAGAGCCACTGTCCCAGAGCCACTGTCCCAGAGCCACTGTCTCAGAGCCACTGTCTCAGAGCCACTGTCTCAGAGCCACTGTCTCAGAGCCACTGTCCCAGAGCCACTGTCCCAGAGCCACTGTCCCAGAGCCACTGTCCCAGAGCCACTGTCCCAGAGCCACTGTCCCAGAGCCACTGTCCAGAGCCACTGTCCCAGAGCCACTGTCTCAGAGCCACTGTCCAGAGCCACTGTCCCAGAGCCACTGTCTCAGAGCCACTGTCCCAGAGCCACTGTCCCAGAGCCACTGTCCCAGAGCCACTGTCCCAGAGCCACTGTCTCAGAGCCACTGTCCCAGAGCCACTGTCCCAGAGCCACTGTCCAGAGCCACTGTCCAGCCACTGTCCCAGAGCCACTGTCCCAGAGCCACTGTCCCAGAGCCACTGTCCAGAGCCACTGTCCCAGAGCCACGCCCAGCCACTGTCCCAGAGCCACTGTCCCAGAGCCACTGTCCCAGAGCCACTGTCCCAGAGCCACTGTCCCAGAGCCACTGTCCCAGAGCCACTGTCCAGAGCCACTGTCCCAGAGCCACTGTCCCAGAGCCACTGTCCCAGAGCCACTGTCCCAGAGCCACTGTCCCAGAGCCAGCCACTGTCCCAGAGCCACTGTCCCAGAGCCACTGTCCCAGAGCCACTGTCCCAGAGCCACTGTCCCCCACTGTCCAGAGCCACTGTCCCAGAGCCACTGTCTCAGAGCCACTGTCCCAGAGCCACTGTCCCAGAGCCACTGTCCCAGAGCCACTGTCCCAGAGCCACTGTCCCAGAGCCACTGTCCCAGAGCCACTGTCCCAGAGCCACTGTCCCAGAGCCACTGTCCCAGAGCCACTGTCCCAGAGCCACTGTCCCAGAGCCACTGTCCCAGAGCCACTGTCCCAGAGCCACTGTCCCAGAGCCACTGTCCCAGAGCCACTGTCTCAGAGCCACTGTCCCAGAGCCACTGTCCCAGAGCCACTGTCCCAGAGCCACTGTCCCAGAGCCACTGTCCCAGAGCCACTGTCCCAGAGCCACTGTCCCAGAGCCACTGTCTCAGAGCCACTGTCCCAGAGCCACTGTCCCAGAGCCACTGTCCCAGAGCCACTGTCCCAGAGCCACTGTCCCAGAGCCACTGTCCCAGAGCCACTGTCCCAGAGCCACTGTCCCAGAGCCACTGTCTCAGAGCCACTGTCCCAGAGCCACTGTCTCAGAGCCACTGTCTCAGAGCCACTGTCCCAGAGCCACTGTCCCAGAGCCACTGTCCCAGAGCCACTGTCCCAGAGCCACTGTCCCAGAGCCACTGTCCCAGAGCCACTGTCCCAGAGCCACTGTCCCAGAGCCACTGTCCCAGAGCCACTGTCCAGAGCCACTGTCCCAGAGCCACTGTCCAGAGCCACTGTCCCAGAGCCACTGTCTCAGAGCCACTGTCCCAGAGCCACTGTCCCAGAGCCACTGTCCCAGAGCCACTGTCCCAGAGCCACTGTCCCAGAGCCACTGTCCCAGAGCCACTGTCCCAGAGCCACTGTCCCAGAGCCACTGTCCCAGAGCCACTGTCCCAGAGCCACTGTCCCAGAGCCACTGTCCCAGAGCCACTGTCCCAGAGCCACTGTCCCAGAGCCACTGTCCCAGAGCCACTGTCCCAGAGCCACTGTCCAGAGCCACTGTCCCAGAGCCACTGCCGAGCCCAGAGCCACTGTCCCAGAGCCACTGTCCCAGAGCCACTGTCCCAGAGCCACTGTCCCAGAGCCACTGTCCAGAGCCTGTAGAGCCACTGTCCCAGAGCCACTGTGTCCCAGAGCCACTGTCCCAGAGCCACTGTCCCAGAGCCACTGTCCCAGAGCCACTGTCCCAGAGCCACTGTCTCAGAGCCACTGTCTCAGAGCCACTGTCCCAGAGCCACTGTCCCAGAGCCACTGTCCCAGAGCCACTGTCCAGAGCCACTGCCCAGAGCCACTGTCCCAGAGCCAGAGCCACTGTCCCAGAGCCACTGCCCCAGAGCCACTGTCCCAGAGCCAGAGCCACTGTCCCAGAGCCACTGTCCCAGAGCCACTGTCCAGAGCCACTGTCCAGAGCACTGTCCAGAGCCACTGTCTCAGAGCCACTGTCCCAGAGCCACTGTCCCAGAGCCAGAGCCACTGTCCCAGAGCCACTGTCCCAGAGCCACTGTCTCAGAGCCACTGTCCCAGAGCCAGAGCCACTGTCCCAGAGCCACTGTCCCAGAGCCACTGTCTCAGAGCCACTGTCCCAGAGCCACTGTCCCAGAGCCACTGTCTCAGAGCCACTGTCTCAGAGCCACTGTCCCAGAGCCACTGTCCCAGAGCCACTGTCCCAGAGCCACTGCCCCAGAGCCACTGTCCCAGAGCCACTGTCCCAGAGCCACTGCCCCAGAGCCACTGTCCCAGAGCCAGAGCCACTGTCCCAGAGCCACTGTCTCAGAGCCACTGTCCCAGAGCCACTGTCCCAGAGCCACTGTCCCAGAGCCACTGTCTCAGAGCCACTGTCCCAGAGCCACTGCCCCAGAGCCACTGTCCCAGAGCCACTGTCTCAGAGCCACTGTCCCAGAGCCACTGCCCCAGAGCCACTGTCCCAGAGCCACTGTCTCAGAGCCACTGTCCCAGAGCCAGAGCCACTGTCCCAGAGCCACTGTCTCAGAGCCACTGTCTCAGAGCCACTGTCCCAGAGCCACTGTCCCAGAGCCACTGTCCAGAGCCACTGTCTCAGAGCCACTGTCCCAGAGCCACTGTCCCAGAGCCACTGTCTCAGAGCCACTGTCTCAGAGCCACTGTCCCAGAGCCACTGTCCCAGAGCCACTGTCCCAGAGCCACTGCCCCAGAGCCACTGTCCCAGAGCCACTGTCCCAGAGCCACTGTCCCAGAGCCACTGCCCCAGAGCCACTGTCCCAGAGCCAGAGCCACTGTCCCAGAGCCACTGTCCCAGAGCCACTGTCTCAGCCACTGTCCAGAGCCAGAGCCACTGTCCCAGAGCCACTGTCCCAGAGCCACTGTCCCAGAGCCATTGTCCCAGAGCCACTGTCCCAGAGCCACTGTCCCAGAGCCACTGTCCCAGAGCCACTGTCCCAGAGCCACTGTCCCAGAGCCACTGTCCCAGAGCCACTGTCTCAGAGCCACTGTCCCAGAGCCACTGCCCCAGAGCCACTGTCCCAGAGCCACTGTCTCAGAGCCACTGTCCCAGAGCCACTGCCCCAGAGCCACTGTCCCAGAGCCACTGTCTCAGAGCCACTGTCCCAGAGCCACTGTCCCAGAGCCACTGTCCCAGAGCCACTGTCCCAGAGCCATTGTCTCAGCGCCACTGTCCCAGAGCCACTGTCTCAGAGCCACTGTCCCAAAGCCACTGTCTCAGAGCCACTGTCCCAGAGCCACTGTCCCAGAGCCACTGTCCCAGAGCCACTGTCTCAGCCACTGTCCCAGAGCCAGAGCCACTGTCCCAGAGCCACTGTCCCAGAGCCACTGTCTCAGAGCCACTGTCCCAGAGCCACTGCCCCAGAGCCACTGTCCCAGAGCCACTGTCTCAGAGCCACTGTCCCAGAGCCACTGTCCCAGAGCTACTGTCCCAGAGCCATTGTCTCAGAGCCACTGTCCCAGAGCCACTGTCCCAGAGCCATTGTCCCAGAGCCACTGTCCCAGAGCCACTGTCTCAGAGCCACTGTCCCAGAGCCACCGTCCCAGAGCCACTGTCCCAGAGCCACTGTCCCAGAACCATTGTCTCAGAGCCACTGTCCCAGAGCCACTGTCTCAGAGCCACTGTCTCAGAGCCACTGTCCCAGAGCCACTGCCCCAGAGCCACTGTCCCAGAGCCACTGTCTCAGAGCCACTGTCCCAGAGCCACTGTCCCAGAGCCAATGTCTCAGAGCCACTGTCCCAGAGCCATTGTCCCAGAGCCACTGTCCCAGAGCCACTACCCCAGAGCCACTGTCCCAGAGCCACTGTCTCAGAGCCACTGTCTTAGAGCCACTGTCCCAGAGCCACTGTCCCAGAGCCATTGTCCCAGAGCCACTGTCCCAGAGCCACTGTCCCAGAGCCACTGTCCCAGAGCCACTCTCCCAGAGCCACTGCCCCAGAGCCACTGTCCCAGAGCCAGAGCCACTGTCCCAGAGCCACTGTCCCAGAGCCACTGTCTCAGAGCCACTGTCCCAGAGCCACTGTCTCAGAGCCACTGTCTCAGAGCCACTGTCCCAGAGCCAGAGCCACTGTCCCAGAGCCAGAGCCACTGTCCCAGAGCCACTGTCTCAGAGCCACTGTCCCAGAGCCACTGCCCCAGAGCCACTGTCCCAGAGCCACTGTCTCAGAGCCACTGTCCCAGAGCCACTGTCCCAGAGCCACTGTCCCAGAGCCACTGTCCCAGAGCCATTGTCTCAGAGCCACTGTCCCAGAGCCACTGTCCCAGAACCATTGTCTCAGAGCCACTGTCCCAGAGCCACTGTCCCAGAGCCACTGCCCCAGAGCCACTGTCCCAGAGCCACTGTCCCAGAGCCACTGCCCCAGAGCCACTGTCCCAGAGCCACTGTCTCAGAGCCACTGTCCCAGAGCCATTGTCCCAGAGCCACTGTCCCAGAGCCACTGTCCCAGAGCCACTGCCCCAGAGCCACTGTCCCAGAGCCACTGTCTCAGAGCCACTGTCCCAGAGCCATTGTCCCAGAGCCACTGTCCCAGAGCCACTGCCCCAGAGCCACTGTCCCAGAGCCACTGTCTCAGAGCCACTGTCCCAGAGCCACTGTCCCAGAGCCACTGTCCCAGAGCCACTGTCCCAGAGCCACTGTCCCAGAGCCATTGTCTCAGAGCCACTGTCCCAGAGCCACTGTCTCAGAGCCACTGTCCCAGAGCCACTGTCCCAGAGCCACTGTCTCAGAGCCACTGTCTCAGAGCCACTGTCTTAGAGCCACTGTCCCAGAGCCACTGTCCCAGAGCCATTGTCCCAGAGCCACTGTCCCAGAGCCACTGTCCCAGAGCCACTGTCCCAGAGCCACTGTCCCAGAGCCAGAGCCACTGCCCCAGAGCCACTGCCCCAGAGCCACTGTCCCAGAGCCAGAGCCACTGTCCCAGAGCCACTGTCCCAGAGCCACTGTCTCAGAGCCACTGTCCCAGAGCCACTGTCCCAGAGCCACTGTCCCAGAGCCACTGTCCCAGAGCCACTGTCCCAGAGCCACTGTCCCAGAGCCACTGTCTCAGAGCCACTGTCTTAGAGCCACTGTCCCAGAGCCACTGTCCCAGAGCCATTGTCCCAGAGCCACTGTCCCAGAGCCACTGTCCCAGAGCCACTGTCCCAGAGCCACTGTCCCAGAGCCACTGTCCCAGAGCCACTGTCCCAGAGCCAGAGCCACTGTCCCAGAGCCACTGTCTCAGAGCCACTGTCCCAGAGCCACTGCCCCAGAGCCACTGTCCCAGAGCCACTGTCTCAGAGCCACTGTCCCAGAGCCACTGCCCCAGAGCCACTGTCCCAGAGCCACTGTCCCAGAGCCACTGTCCCAGAGCCACTGTCCCAGAGCCACTGTCCCAGAGCCACAGTCCCAGAGCCACTGGCCCAGAGCCACTGTCTCAGAGCCACTGTCCCAGAGCCACTGTCCCAGAGCCACTGTCCCAGAGCCACTGTCTCAGAGCCACTGTCCCAGAGCCAGAGCCACTGTCCCAGAGCCACTGTCCCAGAGCGACTGTCTCAGAGCCACTGTCCCAGAGCCACTGTCCCAGAGCCACTGTCTCAGAGCCACTGTCCCAGAGCCACTCTCCCAGAGCCACTGTCCCAGAGCTACTCTGTCCCAGAGCCATTGTCTCAGAGCCACTGTCCCAGAGCCACTGTCCCAGAGCCATTGTCCCAGAGCCACTGTCCCAGAGCCACTGTCTCAGAGCCACTGTCCCAGAGCCACCATCCCAGAGCCACTGTCCCAGAGCCACTGTCCCAGAACCATTGTCTCAGAGCCACTGTCCCAGAGCCACTGTCTCAGAGCCACTGTCTCAGAGCCACTGTCCCAGAGCCACTGCCCCAGAGCCACTGTCCCAGAGCCACTGTCTCAGAGCCACTGTCCCAGAGCCACTGTCCCAGAGCCAATGTCTCAGAGCCACTGTCCCAGAGCCATTGTCCCAGAGCCACTGTCCCAGAGCCACTACCCCAGAGCCACTGTCCCAGAGCCACTGTCTCAGAGCCACTGTCTTAGAGCCACTGTCCCAGAGCCACTGTCCCAGAGCCATTGTCCCAGAGCCACTGTCCCAGAGCCACTGTCCCAGAGCCACTGTCCCAGAGCCACTGTCCCAGAGCCACTGTCTCAGAGCCACTGTCTCAGAGCCACTGTCTCAGAGCCACTGTCCCAGAGCCACTGTCCCAGAGCCACTGTCCCAGAGCCACTGCCCCAGAGCCACTGTCCCAGAGCCAGAGCCACTGTCCCAGAGCCACTGTCCCAGAGCCACTGTCTCAGAGCCACTGTCCCAGAGCCACTGTCTCAGAGCCACTGTCTCAGAGCCACTGTCCCAGAGCCAGAGCCACTGTCCCAGAGCCACTGTCTCAGAGCCACTGTCCCAGAGCCACTGCCCCAGAGCCACTGTCCCAGAGCCACTGTCTCAGAGCCACTGTCCCAGAGCCACTGTCCCAGAGCCACTGTCCCAGAGCCATTGTCTCAGAGCCACTGTCCCAGAGCCACTGTCCCAGAACCATTGTCTCAGAGCCACTGTCCCAGAGCCACTGTCCCAGAGCCACTGTCTCAGAGCCACTGTCCCAGAGCCACTGTCCCAGAGCCACTGTCCCAGAGCCACTGTCCCAGAGCCACTGTCTCAGAGCCACTGTCCCAGAGCCACTGTCTCAGAGCCACTGTCTTAGAGCCACTGTCTCAGAGCCACTGTCTTAGAGCCACTGTCCCAGAGCCACTGTCCCAGAGCCACTGTCCCAGAGCCACTGTCCCAGAGCCACTGTCTCAGAGCCACTGTCCCAGAGCCACTGTCTCAGAGCCACTGTCTCAGAGCCACTGTCCCAGAGCCACTGTCCCAGAGCCACTGCCCCAGAGCCATTGTCCCAGAGCCACTGTCCCAAAGCCACTGTCTCAGAGTCACTGTCCCAGAGCCACTGTCCCAGAGCCACTGCCCCAGAGCCACTGTCCCAGAGCCACTGTCCCAGAGCCACTGTCTCAGAGCCACTGTCTCAGAGCCACTGTCCCAGAGCCATTGTCCCAGAGCCACTGTCCCAAAGCCACTGTCTCAGAGCCACTGTCCCAGAGCCACTGTCCCAGAGCCACTGTCCCAGAGCCACTGTCCCAGAGCCATTGTCCCAGAGCCACTGTCTCAGAGCCACTGTCCCAGAGCCATTGTCCCAGAGCCATTGTCCCAGAGCCACTGTCTCAGAGTCACTGTCCCAGAGCCACTGTCCCAGAGCCACTGTCCCAGAGCCACTGTCCCAGAGGCCACTGTCCCAGAGCCACTGTCTCAGAGCCACTGTCCCAGAGCCACTGTCCCAGAGCCACTGTCCCAGAGCCACTGTCTCAGAAGCCACTGTCTCAGAGTCACTGTCCCAGAGCCACTGTCCCAGAGCCACTGTCCCAGAGCCACTGTCCCAGAGCCACTGTCCCAGAGCCACTGTCTCAGAGCCATTGTCCCAGAGCCACTGTCCCAGAGCCACTGTCCCAGAGCCACTGTCCCAGAGCCATTGTCCCAGAGCCACTGTCTCAGAGCCACTGTCCCAGAGCCATTGTCCCAGAGCCATTGTCCCAGAGCCACTGTCTCAGAGTCACTGTCCCAGAGACACTGTCCCAGAGCCACTGTCCCAGAGCCACTGTCCCAGAGCCACTGTCCCAGAGCCACTGTCTCAGAGCCACTGTCCCAGAGCCACTGTCCCAGAGCCATTGTCCCAGAGCCACTGTCTCAGAGCCACTGTCCCAGAGCCATTGTCCCAGAGCCATTGTCCCAGAGCCACTGTCTCAGAGTCACTGTCCCAGAGCCACTGTCCCAGAGCCACTGTCCCAGAGCCACTGTCCCAGAGCCAGAGCCACTGTCCCAGAGCCACTGTCTCAGAGCCACTGTCCCAGAGCCACTGTCCCAGAGCCACTGTCACAGAGCCACTGTCCCAGAGCCACTGTCCCAGAGCCACTGTCC